GCCTTCTGGGAGGAAGGATCTTCTCTTTGCCAGCCGTTCCATATCTGAGCTCTTTACCCCACTTTGCTCACTTTGTCCCTCTGCTCACTGCTTCTGTGGGAATGATCCTGTCAAGGCCCAGTCTGCCTGGGCACCTCCAATGTGTCCAGGCTCCCGCCCCTCTGCACCGACCTCTCCCAAAGTGTTGGATCCCTGACAGACTCACTGGGGGCTTATCACGCTCCAGACTCCCAGCCTGCCCCAGGCATGAGTTCACGTGGAAGGCCAGCACAGACCACACAGCAAGAGTCCTTAACGAGGTACAATCGGAGCCTCCAGAGTTGGCCTTGTTAAAAATAAAAAAAGTGGTTCCACTGCATTGGGAATCGCCTCTGAGTGCAGAGCTTGAGCCTTGGCTCTGAGCACACTTCTCAGCCCTGTTTGCTTTCAGTAGTGACGTTGACAGATACATTCTTAGGAAGGGAGAACATTTCTACACTTAGAATTTTAGATAGCCACACTCGAACACCAGGCAAAGTAAGTGGCACTGGAGGGCCCTGGGACGCATTAACAAGGCGTGTGACTATTAGCTTGCTAGAAAGGTCAGGTGGACCCTGCACCTCTCCAACCTCAGCCTCCTCGCAAGGAGCCAACAACATCCCGGTCCCATTCTCTCATCAGCTTCCTCACTGCCTGCAGAGCCAGACACAGCATGGTTACACAATTTAGTTATGTAATTTTATGTTCTTAAAAACTCTTGAACATTTCATAAACATTTTCACATGGCCCTAGGTCTTTATAACTGTTTTAATGACTACATAAGCTGTTGACTTAATGTCATTAAACCATTTCATTATGTAAACTTTTTTTCCTCAGTTTTACACTAACTTGATTAGTGTACCTATTAACTCTTAAAATATGTAGTTCTTTTTTTTCCTATCAAATTTCTTCAGAACCAATTGCCAAGTTTGGAATTCCTGAATCAAAGTTTATCGTCCTTGTTATCAGGCAAGTGCATACTTCTTACTATATGGAGCAAAATTCTTTTTTTTTAAAGTTTAGCAAGAATTTATTTTAGGGAATAACAGGATGAAGTAGGGAGAAATAGTAAGGGGAGGAGAAACATCTGTTTCACACAGGAGATGGAAGTGAACAAGACTCCTGGAGCAAAATGCTTGGCAAAGAGTTACTTCTAATTCAGAATACTGATAAAAAGTTATGAGAGCTCTAGAAAGGACATTTCATTACTGTTTTGAGTTGTTCCTTTTCTTATCCCTGCACAGTAATACATTGTAAAAACATTTAAGTCCAAAATATTTAAAATAAATATGATCCAACCTTGACTTCCATTTATCCGGAGAGTACCCGAGTCATCTGCAATGCTGAATGACAGAGAAGTGAGGTGATGGAAGTGTTGGTACACTGTACATACTGTTCATGATGCTGGCGTCTTACCTGGAAAGAAAAGGGAGCACAGCTTTACGATGCTCCTGTTTCCCTTTCTAGAAGGACAGAGGAGATTGATGATGGCGCCCTCTGCGGAGTAGTAACCATTTACTACAGAATTAACACATTTCCTTTTCAAGTACCTTTTGGAAAAACATCAGACTATTGTTTTAAAACAACTTGAAAATAGAACACGGAAAAGGAAGACATGTGTTTCTAAGGGTTCAGTTTTATGGAAAGTTTTCTTTTCAGATTGACAAGGTCTTGAAATGTCAAAGAAGATTCAGGTGCTAGAAAAGTGAGTAAAATAAGGTTTGAGCTATAGCTCAGTGGTAAAACACTTGCCTAGCTTGCTCAAGGCCCTAGGTTAATTCCCACCACTGCAAAAGAAAAACAAAAAAAGGAAAAATGGGTAGAATAAGTGGCAGGAAAAACATGAATGAGTTTAGGTATGTGGGAGTAAAGTCAAAATATTAAAGGAAATATTCAGCTGTTTTATTTTATCTTAGTAGATAAAATGACTTAGACATCTGTGTGGCAGAAAATATTGTGGCTTATGTAAAAATAAAACCATCTGATCTGGATGCTGTAATGATTAGATGGTTTATTAATGTCATAGTTTTTAATGGTTTACATTTAGTAGAGTGTTACTAAACTGTATTATTTTGTTGCTTTCAACTTATTGGACAATAAATTTTGCTTCCAGTTTACTGAACAGTAAATTTTGTAGTGTGGAATTTCTTGATTTTTTTATTGGTAGCCCAAATTCAGCCTATTGTTTTTTACAACCCTTTGTTAAGCCATTGAGAAATTCCCAAATCGTAGTATAGGATAAATACCCATATAACTTGTAGGAATTAGGCAACTCTGTCTAATATATAGGTTCTTGGGAGTGCTAGAGTATCAGGAGTTAAACATTACATTGCTTTGATTTAATCTTGAAAGTGGAAGATTTTAACAGAGTCTAAAGAAGGAGAAGGATCTGGTTTGGAAGGATGGAAGAGAGCTACAGGGAAAGGTGTAGACTGTCAAAGTAGAGTGCCTCACGTGGAGCCTGATCCCAAAATAAGGATGGCCTTCTTTCAGTCTGAATATGATAGTTTTCAAACGAAATACTTCAAGAAATCTTGTAGATCTTGACAATTGGTTGACTAGTTGGGTTCTAACCTGGGTCCAAATTGTACAGACAGAATTGTGTGTTGATGTTTGTCCTTCAAAGAGAGTAATTCTGTGTTTCAAAATGTTGGGATCTATATAGGTTCTCTTTTGACCTTGGGCTAGGTGTATGAAATGTGATTTTTCAAGGTTCAATGATTTGTTGGAAGAGATGACCTTTTCTGATGCTAAATATTGTCCTTTCCAAAGGCAGAAGGAAGAACATTTACCACTATGTCCTTTGAGGTACCTATACATTCATGACCCAAGACTTTTGGGAGTGAAGAGTTTTAGAATGTGTCAGTACTGTCTTCTTCCTTACACTTAAAAAGCATAACGTATGGACGGCTTTCAGGTTTAACCCTTTGGTGATTCTGGTACAAATGAAGCCAGAGTGGCTTGAAGTGGTACTGTGTGAAGTGAGTCTTGATCTTCAAGTGTCTTGGCAACCATTACTGTGGATTTGGAAGTGCAGGGGAATCCTTGAGCAATTTAATGGTCACCTGAGAGTGGGCCATTGACTTATTATGCCGCTTTTGGCTTCATCCCATCCTGAAGTTTATCCATCGGCATTCTGATTTAAGTGACCTAGAAATATGTAGTCAACATAAGGTAAGATCATATTAGTGGGCAGCTCTAAGGATCATCATTAGAAACTTCATGAAAGCTTTTAGATGGAGTTATGCTGAAATGACATCCATCCTGCCACTGCCTACAAAACCAGCTGGAGAGAAGAGCTCTTGGTGGAGTAGTGAGAGAGGTGGGCTTAGGGCATAACCCAAGTGGACCAGAGTGGGGAAAGAGTCCAGAAAATGATGTGAGAGCAGGCCGACCAGAGTGTGAATGATGAGGGCCTGTACTGTGGTGGTCATGCCTAGGGTGACACAGTACGGTCAGCGTGTATTAGAAGAACAAAACAGCATCATCACTATATGCAGAGACAGGGACAATAGTGTTCAATATGTCAAACATCTAGTCCAGTGTTGCTGTTTCTGAGTGTGTCATAGTAAGACAAGCACACACATTGTGGTTTGTTTGAATCAGGATCCAAGTCAGTCTATGCATTGTCATTGCTTGATGTCTCTGAAGTCTCTTGAATCACAAGCTTGTGCTCCATCTCTATTATTTATCCCTTCCAAGTTACTTTTCCAAGTTATTTGTAAAGGAAGTGGGTCATTTGACTGTAGACCTTCCTAGAGTTTGCTGTTGCTGAATGCACCCCAGTCATGGTGTTAATGGGGTCCTCTGGTTGAATCTAGAGGCTTGGTCACATCGCATTGACCCTAATGCTTTTATCCAGTTCATACACAAAATAGCACCATGCGTACTGTGGCGCTGTTATCTGATTTATTTGGATAAATGGCGGTCACCTTCTACTTTCAGTTTTCTTTTAAACATACAGTAGTCTGTAAAGATCTTGGGTATAGCTGGACAAGTTTGAACAAATGTACACACCCATGGGCCTAGCCATTTCCTTCCAAAGTTCCCTCACATCTCTACGATGTGTACTCTTCTTCCCAGAAGCGAATTCCTAATTTTCATCCCTACAGACCAGTTTTACTTGCCTTGAACTCAAAACACAAAACAACAAAACATATATCAACATTTTGTTTTGATGTATTTTAGTTTATGGGTGTAAACATTTTTTTCATCTGTGTTACTAGAAATAGGAACCTGACAGAGTTGACCCTGGGAGGTGAGAAGGTTGCAGAGGCCTAGCGGGCAAGTACTGGGGAGCAGTCTCCTGGGGAACTAGCTGAGGAAGAGCTGGCCTGTGCTGTCCCTGTAGTTTTCTTCCTCTGCAATTATCCCACACATTAAATGTTGGCTGTTATGCTCATTTGGTATTTTCCTGCACACTCACAGGATTTCCTCATCGCCCTGTGGGTGTTCTGATGAAAGAGGGGCTTAGAGACATGGTGTGGGATGATTTCCTCCCAGTTGAGAACTGTTGGTGCATGAGCCACACTGCAGGACATGCCTCTCTTCCTTGTTGCCTCCCACTTCTCCATAAGCATTCTCTTTCCACTTAGACGAGCTGCTTTCCTCCTGTCTACTGCTCATCAAGTGACGAAGTTTACACTGCTTGTTTTACCAAGAAAAGTAGATCATTATATATCTGATTTGTGTGTTACAGTATGAAGATTTCCAAGTCACTAAAATTATTTAAACTTTTCACTTCTAGCTAGTACATAACTAACCATATGTGGTGACATTATTTTTAACTATATATAATCTGTGAATATAGTACATATGTATATATGTGAGTATATGTATACATTTGTCCAGCTTGTCCAGTTGATTGGCTTTATAAGATCAGTTAGGAAAAGGTCCTGAAATTTTTTTAAATTAAAAATGATATTTTTCTGGAACACAAAAGAAGATAAAAATTACTAAGTATTTTTTTCTTTTCTCCACAGAACCATCCGAGTATGGCTGAAAAGAGACAGTGGCCAGTACTGGCCCAGCATATACCACACAATGGCTTGTAAGTTGTGGAGCTGTTCTGCTTAAGGACAGTGCTTTGGATACCTTTGATGATTTAAATTTCAAAATGTCTGACAAAAAAATTGCTACTGGATTTCAGATTGAGTTTCCTTGTTGTCTGTTGTCTCTGACAGGCTGTAATAAAGGATGTTGGCTCTAGCTGCTGAACTGAAGCAGACTTGAGCAAAATTGAAAAAAAAAAAAGAGGAAAAGGGCATGTTCCCCCTGGTTTTCTTTTGTCTGAATTTGACAAATACACGTTAGAAGTAACTGCACTCAGTAGTTGGTGACATCCTGCCATTGTAAATGCCCTCTGTACCCTCCCTTGGCCATGTCCAGCCTCTCTCCTGACCTTTTCACCACTTTCTGAGTATTACAGAGAGATTGAGTCCAAGGTGCAACATTTTGTAAATGGAGAACTTTCTTACTTGTCAGATAGGTTTTAAAAGCAAATCTAGAACATAAAGCTTCTACATAGAGACTTTAACCTAGGCTGTCCTGGCATAAAAGAACATGTAAATTCTAGCTCTTCCTGCAAATCTAAGCAATTTTACCCATGCCATCCTTCTCTCCCCTTTCTTCAGTCTTTCTTAAAAACAAAGCTCAGCAGAGAATGCCTGAATGTCACCCAAGGCCAAATGGGGTGTTGAATCCTGTTATCCCAAACAGCTACAGAAAGGCAGCCATAGCTGTGGGTTTCCTTGAGGCTACTGTCCTCAGTGAGGGATTTTCCTCAGTTGAGGGTTTTTATATTCAAGTGACCTCTAAGAGGAGAAAAAAGGATTTGGTATGTGCTTGGTGGTTTGTTACTGAAGATCCTTTTGAAGTTCCTAAAGAAGAGTTCTTGACAGTTGTCCAGATACTGTTGACACTGTTTGCAGCTTTCTGAAGAGGGATTACAAAGCTATGGAGTCAGTTATGAACGTGGAACAGCCAATTATTCAGCACATTAGGTATAATTAGAGTCATCCTTCCAAGTAGCTCCCTTCTCAGTACATTCTCATTTGTCCATATGTTCTGTTGTGCATGTAGTAATTGGATCCCTAATAACTTTCACAAAAAGCTAGTAGTTCATCAGTGTTCTTTCTACCAATAGCTTGGGAAGGTGAAAAACTTCTTTGCTTTTATAATCATATAGTGAAAGTGAAAAGGATTTTTTGGGATACTGTATAAAGATAGTGATTATCAAATGAATGATAAAACCATATAAGACATAGCACATTGGAAGACTACTTGAAAGCCCAATCACAACTTATTATGTCAAGGAGTAGGGTCTTCTCATTACCCACATCTTATGCATCTGCCAATGCATAACCTTGGTTTTTCACTCTGAATTTTGACTTTGAAATATGAAGTGACTGATGGCTTAGTAAGGTGTTTAGGAGCCTGTTTGATAAGGTAAATAGGGCATAGATGAGTGGGATACCCTGGGCCTCTAAGCCACCCTACCCACAACAACAAAATGGGCTTCTGTTGCCCTGATGTCTCCTTCCTTCTCTGTGACCCCATGAGAGATCTGATAGATAGAAGTAGCAACTGCCAGAGGCACTCATTCCAGGGCTAGAATGTTTTGTCATCATTGTGGGAAGTCGCCTTAATGTTACTGCTGTCCCCTCCCCCTCCCCCGACCCCTCCCCCCTAGCTCATGTTTTTGTAAACTTAATGTCCTTGAGTCCTCAGCCTTTGAGTTATTGCTGACTAGGGTAGAGACTTAAATTTAGTTATTACTCTTTGGCCTGGATTTTATTTCCCCCCCAGCTTTCTTTCCTTTTTTCTTTTCAGTGCTGGGACTTGAACCTAGGGCCTCTGCATGCTAGGCAAATGAGCACTGAGCTGCAACCCTAGCTCTCCTCCAAATATTTCATGCAACTTTGTGGTGAATTTTCTCCCAGGACACCACAACCCCAGCAGGAGAAGCACACTCTCTCTTGGACGTTAGATCTTGGGCAGTGGCCATGACCCTCTCTGTTCCCATCCTGGCTGTCTGTCCCTCCTAAGGCAGTTACAGCTCAAGTGGGGTGGGGAGGACAGTCTGCAGTTCAGCTCGTTGCTTCCGGATGCTTCTTTATTGCCTCCATCTGGACTGACATCTACAGACATGACTACAAGAACGTGACCAGAAAATCATTCAGTGAATGAATTATGAGAAATAACAGCTCATGTATTTTACAGTGATTTTAACTTCAAAGTTAAATTCAAAATACAAGAAAAGTACCCTGTTGGTTCGACAAATTATCTGAAAATTACCTGATTTAGGATGTTTAGTGACCCTCCATCAATTTAAACTTCCTGTGACCTGAGTGATCAGAAAGCTAAACCTGTCTGTACTGCTGTAGGTGGTCCAATCGTGTTCTGTAATGTTGCCTCATATAAAAAAAATCACGTGCAGAGTCTGTTGTATCTGAAGAAATATGTTAATTCTTAGTTTCTATATTATTACCTGCCTTGTGCCCTTTTTTGTAAAATGATTTTGTGAAGTCATCACTACAGCTGTGCAAGGCAGATGATATTTTTACCATTTTGTGGACAAGGACACTGAGTCCAGAAAGATAAAGTCAATTGCTTTTTGTTGGAATTCCAATCCATGCCCATTTAAAGCTCCAAAACTATGCTGCCCACCAAAGTTATGAGGTGGTCCACAATTTTTGTATGCAAGGGGCCAGGCGGTCAATATTTAGGTTCTGTGGGCCAAACAGTTTGTGATAACTACCCAACACTGCCACTGCAGCATGAAACAATCATACACAGTGCGTGAATAAAATGGCCTGGCCTGGGTCCAAAAAACCCAAGGACTTTATTAACAAAACATGCATTCAGCCAGATCTGGCTCTCTGGTCTTAGTTTTAAGCATATGACTTTGAACTATAATGATGCCTTTTTAAAAGTCCGCTGATTTGAAAGATGCTGCATTTTTCATACTCATAAAACTATGTGAGTATTCAACCCTTCCCCTTCTTTTTAAAATTCGTATTGCTTATCTCAGTAGAAACTCCCTTCTATGAAAAAAAAAAGGCAAAAACAGGACATTATTATATATAAAACAAACTAAGGAAGTGCTTTTATTTTTTTTAACATAAAAAAAAATCTAGCCTCTTAAAATTACTCAGCATGTTAAAATTTTTACCAAAAGAGGGATTTTACATGTTTATGTAGCTTCTCATATGGTCAGGCATCAAAAGAATTGAAAAGAGGCTTCAAACTAATGCATCAAGATTTAGTACCAGGGCTAGTGGAGTGGCTCAAGGGGTAAGGGCGCCTGCCTAGCTCCCGTGAGGCTTTGAGTTCAAACCCCAGTGCACTCCCCGTGAAAAAGATGTAGTATCAACTGAACTGCAAGCAAAAATGATGACAATTAATCTTTGAAATCATTTAATTTGTTAATGAGAATTTTATCCATGGTAATTGAAAGACATTTTGATTGTATATGTATGTATGTATCTATATATCACAAAGATATAGATACATAGGCATATACATAGATGTAGTTATGGTTCTGATTGTTCTCTATAATCTCACACATCAATCTGGTAGATAAGGGTGTACAAACTTGAAGCTAATCCTGTTTTATGTGAAGTTCCAGTATTACCTTCACCTACATAGTTCGTGAATGCATCTGAAACAGTCTGTTTCTATGGTCCAATCATGCACTTATCTGTGTTTGCCTTTGGGTACCATCTAAAGTTTACTTACTTTCTTTGGTGGAGAATATCAGTCCATTGTAGTGAGAAAACGTTAAACACTTTTCATGACTTCATTTAGAAGTTTTTTTTCTTTTACTTTTCTATGAGAAGTTTTATTTCAAAGTGAAAGTCAAGCTCATTTGTTTTATTTTTTCACCCTGGCATGCATTGTCTTGCTGTGGTTCTTCCATTGTTGGTTGAATTCATTAGGCCAGAATGAACCCAAATATTTCTTTCTGTTCTGTTTTGTAAATCACTTTCATTCTGATTTTTGGCAGGAGACAATTTGGAGAGTCTCCTTTCTGAGAAAAGCTCACTCTGTGGCCCATGCTTTCTAGAAGAGGTATTGGTTGGTCCTAGGAGGGGTGTGTGCATGGGAAGAGGCAGATGATATCCCAGGTGTACAACTGCTGTGCACAGAGAAAGTGTCTACACCGCACAACTCTAGTTACTGCAATTGGGTTTGTGTCATTGCAAAAGGGAGCATTTTTTGACCATTGGGGAAAAATGTAAATCCAGAGTAGCTTTCCTGCTCGTTCACATATGCCATGAGATAGAAACTCGAGTGCTGGGAACCTCTTTTTCTATGGATTCCAGCTACTCTTAGAACTTTGCTAGGCAAGGGCATTAGAGGACAGGTGATCCACTGAGCAGTTGGGTGTCAGATCACCCACTGTAATTACTGGTCCCCAAACCTTTCCAGGTCATCAGTAGGAATTTCAGCTACATGAGACTTCATACTGGCTTGCTTCACTCCAAATTATAAACATAGTTGAGAAGATTTATAGAATAAGATTTTAAGTTAAAGCAACAAAACTTTAATTACATTTTCAATTTACTTAATTATTTTTCATCATTTTTCCCTTTTTTAAAAACCTAAATTGTATAACTCTTCTTAATAATAATGTACTTTGAACAATGACTTAAAATCCTTAGTTTTGTTTGTAATGTGGTCTTTGCCCTTCTGGCAGCTCCTTGCTCTACCATGGCTTACCATCATGATAGCAGACGGATCTTTGTGGGCCAGGACAACGGAGCTGTAATGGTAAGAACCTTCCAGAATGTATTCATTATCTTTACGTTGATATTAATGCCCCATGTTCACTTATGTTGGGCAGTTTATAATAAAGTTAACACACTAGATGTCTGATTGGCATGAAAGTGTTTAACTCAGCATAGGTGTTAGGCTTAAAAGCAGATGGCTTTTAATTAGTACTTAATGTCAAACTATTCCAGAGATCTCAGAATGTTATCCTGATTAGTGCCTTGGTGTTTGGGCTTCCCACAAGGCACAGCCTTCATACAGTGAGCATGAGACCTGTAGTAGTCCCCATTTCCCAACCATGATAGTGGAGAGCCTCTGTCACTATGTTTCTGTTGGGTGTGTGTCTGCATCTGTGTAAAAGACAGGAGGGGAGGGAGAACAAGTTTAGGGCCTAGCTATTCAGCCAATAACTCATATAACTCTGTAAGGCATTACTTAACGCCTTTGGTGGAGGACCAGGTATTGAAATTTTCAATCTATTATGGCTTGGTGTTTTTTGTAGGATTAATCATATGCACATATTTATTTATTTCCTTAATAAAGTGAACACCATAGAAACTATAACTGTAGCTGACCTGAACTATAGATAGTGGTAGAGTGAGGGGAGCAGAGGGTCAAGGTCACATTCCTCGTGGAATACCAATATTTAAGGGAAAGTCAGAAGACTGAAAACCCACAGAAGAGACCAAGGCAGAATGGCAAAGTGGGAGGAGGGCCAGCCAGAGTAGCGGTCATAGAAGCTGGAGGGGCAGTGAGTAACATGGGGAGCAGACAGAGGCTGAGGTGAGGACAGCTATTGGAAAGCAGCCAGTGACCTCAGGGAGAACCCATTCTATGCAGAGGTGGCAGAGGCCTGGAGTGGAGTGGAGTGATGAGTGATGGGGAGGGGAAGCCTGAGGGTAACCAGTGTGAGGCATTTTGGCTGCGAGGAGGACCAGGAACATTGTAGTACAGTTAAAAAGAGTTCCATTGTTGTTTATGTATTTTTTTTAAGTAAAAAAAAAGAAGCCTTGATTGTATTTGAGGGCCAAAAAGAAAGAGCCAGGAAAGGCAGGCTCCCTGCCCAAGCAGTTCTCGTAGCCGTGGCAGGTGGCAAGGGCAGCAGTGTAACAGTGAAGGCAAAAGCTCTCCTTTTTCTCCTTCTGAAGATTTTATGGGAATATGATGATGTTGTGTGCACACATACAAAACAAGCCCTGAAGGACAAGTGTCACATACTTTCTCCAGTGGTGGTCATGGTCATGCATTTGTCTCTCCCGGGACCCTTCCAGTTCCTTTTGGTTGAAGGACAGATCTTACCATTACAGGACAGCACTAAAAACTCTTATGGCTCTTTAGTGGAAGGGAGCAATGTAAATCCATTTTAGCATTTATTAGCGTTGACCTCTGCATTTCCACTCAGTACAGATTAGTGCATGCAGTGCTGATATATTTTTGTACTTTGCAAAGTGGAGAACATGAAGTCTGTATTCCCTTGTGCATTTTTTTGTCACTGTGGTTAGTCAACACTTCATAGTGTTCATATTACCTAGACCTTAAGAACTGAACAGTTTGCCTTGATGAACACAATTCTTTTTTCTTTTTATTGTCGATTTAAACTTCTTAAATTTTTATTTTTCATTTGTCATACATTAATAATACAGGGGAATTTCATTGTGATAATTCCACACATGCATACAGTGTAACTTGGGCAAGTTCACCCCTCCATTATATTCTCTTTCCCCTTCTTTCTCTTCCCCGCCCCCATTCAATCAGTTTGGTGGTTTCATTGTGCTGTCTTCATCTGAGTATACGCAGTGTACTTTGACCCTCTTCACCTTTCAGAATCCTTTCCCCTCCCCCAACTGCTCACCCCCAAACAGTCCGTCAGTATACATTCGTGTCTCATTATTACTGTCATCATCATTTTAGGTCTGGGCTCCACTCCACAAATGAGTGAGAACATGCAATATTTGGCATTTTAAGCTTGGGGCTTATCTTGCTCAGCATGGTGAGCTCCAGTTCCATCCATTTTCCTGCAAATGATATAATGTCATTTTTCTTTATGGCCAAGTAATATTCCATGGTGTGTGTGTGTGTGTGTGTGTGCATGTGTGTGTGCATTCATTGGTTGTTGGACACCTTGGCTGACTCCACAGTTTGGCTATTATATTGTAGAGAGAGCTGCAGTAAACATGGGTATGCTGGTGTCTTTCTTGTATATCGATTTATACTCCTTCAGATACATGCCCAAGAGTGCTATGGTGGGGTCATAAGGTAAATCTGTTTTTAGTTTTTGAGGAACTTCCATACTGATTTCCATAGTGGTTGTACTAACTTACATTCCCGCCAACAGTATATGAGGGTTCCTTTTTCCCTGAATCCTCACTAACATTCGTTTGTTTTCTTGATCATGGCCAATCTAACCGGGGTGAGATTGAATCTTAGTGTAATTTTGATTTGCATTTTTTTATGGGTAAGGAGGTTGAACATTGCTTATGTATTTATTAGCCATTTGTATTTCTTCTTCTAAGAACTATTTAATTGGATTATTTGTTCTTCTGTTGTTTAGTTTTTGAGCTCTTTATATATTCTGCATATTGATCCCTTGTCTGTAGAATAGCTGGCAAAGATTTTTCTCCTAGTTTGTAGGTTGTCTCTTGATTTTGGTAACTATTTCTTTTGATGTGCAGAAGTTTTTTAATTTGATGCAGTCCTGATTGTCAATTCTTGCTCTGTTCCCTGTGCAGTTGGAGTCCTATTCAGAAAATAATTACCTAGGTCTATATCTTCCACAGTTTCCCTATTTTTCCTGTCGTAGTGTCAGTGTTTTGGGTCTTACATTAAGATCTTTGATCCTTTTAGAGTTGTTTTTTGTACAGGGTGAGAGAGAAGGGTCCAGTTTCAGTCTTCTGCATGTAGATAGCCAGATTTTTCAATGCCATTTGTGGAAGAGGCGTCTTTTCTCCAGTGTATGTCTTTGACTCCTATGCTAAAGATCAGACAGCTGTAGCTATGTGGTTTTATTTCTTGGTCTTCTATTTTATTTCACTGGTCTTCGTTCTGTTTTTGTAACTATGACTGTAGTATAATCTGGAGTCTGGTATTTTGATGACTTCAGTGTTGCTCCTTTTGCTCAAGATTGCTTTTGCTATTCAGGGTTTTTTGTTCCATATGAATTGTAGGGTTGATTTTTCTATTTCTGTGAAGAATGACATTAGGATTTTGATGGGCATTTAATTGAATCTGTAGATTGCTGTTGGTATTATAGATATTTGCACAATATTAGTTCTGCCAATCAGTGAACATGAGGGGTCTTTCCATCTTCTGGTGTTTCCTTCAGTTTCTTTCTTCAAGAATGTAGTTTTCATTGCAGAGGTTGTTCACCTCCTTGGCTAGACTGGTCTTGATCTCCTGATCCTCCTGTCTCCTCCTCTTCACCTCTTTGACTCCAGCACGTGCCACCATGTTCAGCTTCAACTCCTGGCACTACTGGAGCACTGGAGCCACACCTCCACCCTACAATTTCTTAATCAATACATTTTCTTTAGAGTGTTCTCATCTCAGTTTTATGCTGAAGCTTATTTTTTCATTTAAAAATGTGGGGTTTTTTTTTCCTCCTTATAAATACGTGGTCTGCAGAAAACTCGGAAAACATACAAATATAAAAGGACCACACACAGTTTCTACATTTTACTTTTTGGATGATATGTTTATAGTTAAATATGTTTAATTTTCCCCAGTAAGTTGCTGAGATACCTAGTGCCTTATTTTTCCTATAGATATGAGCTCTGCTGGTAATGGATCGTGGCATTCCTGATGTATTGTTTTCAGGGGATTTTTGTACAGTGGGAAGAGTAAAATTAGTAAAAATTTGTAGTAGAGGGAGGAAGAACTGGAAAAAATTGTGCTGATAGCAGCAATTTCTTTATTCAACTCCATCTGCCTCCCCCTCCAAGAAATGATGGCCCAAAGGCAGGTTTGATGAAAGGAAAGATTCATATCCCCAAATGGCTTGTCTTAAGTCCCAGGTCTTGTGACAACCGTTGTTGAATTTTTTTTCATTTTGAAAGTTGTTTTTAAAACCACAATTTTTTTTTATTGTATATGTTTACTTTTAGGAATTTCACGTTTCTGAAGATTTTAATAAAATGAACTTTATCAAGACCTACCCAGGTAATTATGATACATACCTACACTCTTGCACACGTGTACATGTAGACATTGTGCACACACAAGACTGCAACATCTCTTATGACCAGCTAGGTTTTCATGTGAACTTTTTCTTAGCTTATTATCTTACTTATTTATTTATTATTTTGCAGTACTGGGGTTTGTACTCTGAGCTGCATGTTTGCTACTTTTTAGGTTTTTTTTTTTAACTCCAGTTATGTGAGAGGCAATTAGAGGTATTTACCATCCTTTGCTGCTCGTTAACATTTAATAGGTATCTGTGTGAGATTTACCTTAACCATCCTTCTATTACTGGACACATGTACTGCTTCCATTTTTGATTACACTATTATATACAGTATATGTGTTTGCATGTATGTGTGTATGTAGATATGTATACGTAGAGAGGTCTGAGTGTGTGTACAATTTGTAGCTGTGTTTTAAGTGCATGTGTTGTGTGTGTATGTTTGTATATTTGTGACTGTTTAGCTGACTCTAGTTCTATTATTCTGATTACTTCTATTTAAGACAAATTCCTGAGAGTGGAATAACTGAGTCAAACCTTAAACAGCTCTAGATCTGTTTTGCAAACTGCTTCCCAGCACTAGTGTAAATTTTTGCAATCCCAAGAATATGGGTGAGAGTGCCTGCTCATTAGGTCTTTGTAATGTTGCTGCCTTACAATTTCTTTGCCAGTTTGGTAGTCAAAAAAGTTCTCAATTTGAAAACTACTTACTCTTCATTGAGTGTCAGCCATTGATCATCTTCCATGAGGGCTCTTGATTGTGCTCTTATTTCTGGAGAGTTGTGGTTTTCTAATTGATTCACAGGCTCCTTCGCTTTGGGACTTCTACATAAAGTCCCCATTTTTCTTTGTCTTGCATATTTAGAAATTTCTAAAGTTAACAAAAGCAAGCTTCCAGTGTTAACTTTAGGTTGAAATTGTGAAGCCAAGATTAGAAACTTACCCTGAAGGAATAAAAGCCTCAAATTTTGTATTCATGCTTGTGGATCAAGGTGAAATTGGAATCTAGATGGTTTAGGTGTATGTTTATCTTGCTGAATTTTGCTCTAATAATAGGATACAGGAAAGAGATTTTTGAACTTTAATAAGACCAAATTGCTTTTCCTTAGATACTGTTTCACCTGTTCCAAATTTAAAATAGGAGGAAAGGATCCAATAATGACCATACACTTGTGCTTGGCCTTGTAGTTGTGGAAAATTTTTTGTGACAAGTGGCAAGCTTGTATTGCTGAAGAATCTAAAGCACTATAGCGCTACTTCAGCAACAGAAACAGCATTGAATTCTTAGCTGTCATGGCAGGCTTACCTAAAAAACAACAACAACAACAAAAAACAAGAATGTGTAAGTCTTTTAATGAAATACACACCTAGGAATTTGGAGACCCCTTGTTATGCACCTCATCAATGCTTCTGCCAAAAAGCAGTATTCATCTGTTAGTAAGTTCTTTATCAAAATGCTTGCGTGTCTCATGCTATTTTATCAGATTTTGGTTGTTATAGTTCCTTATGGGCTGTAAAGCAGCATAGTTTTTCTAGTGGCTCTGGACTGCTGTATGTCATTGAATAATGGCGTTTTAAATCTGTGTGCAAACCAAAGCAGAGATTGCTAGACTTTTTATTTTTGTCAAACAAGAGAGTTTGAAACAGAAAAAGGAAGCGAAATAAGCATTACCTTATTTCACTATAATTTCACAAAAGAAAGAACTTTGAAAAACTGCAACAGCAGAAAGCATATAATTATAGAAAATAGACAGCTTTTCTTGAGCAAAAATAAGTGACAGTTCACTCCAGTGTCTTCACCAGAAACAGTGGAAACCTTGGTAGTTTGTCCTGAGTTTGGCGCTGTGAATCTAGTGAAAAAGTGTTTGGACTCAGACAAGCCAAGTTGAGTCGATTACCTGTAAGGCTTTGGGCATGTTTGCTTCTCTGTTTTCTTCTCTGAAAATGGGCATAACACATACCCTTTGTGGAAATTAGAAATATTCATTAAAATAGGGGAAAAATCCCACTGTACCCCACATTAAGTCATTGAGTCATTAACTGGGACTTGGTTTACTTGAACTTGAGATTAATAGCTATCAGAGCACCTTTAAAGTTTCAAGGTCCTTCATGAAGAGCATTTAATACTTTTGCCTAAGCTGCTAGCAGTGGGTGGACTTGACCTTCTCATGGATTTGGGGGGAGTCCCTTAGTTCTTCCATAGCAGTTTGTATAGCTAAGAGCAAAGCTAGCATTTTCTCTGTCTAGCATCTCACTTCACTCTTCAGACTGAGCATTTATTAGACACCTACTGTATGCAAAGTCTTCTACTAGATGGAATAGAAGTCAGGTCATTGTACTGGTGTGAGTTACAATGAACTTGGAAATATTTCAGAAGTTAGGCTTAATTTCAGAAAATTGCAGTTGCTCTGACATTTACAATGTCAGTGTTTTGCAAAGGGTCAAAACACTGAAGTAAAAATAAAAATTTGCTGTTCCATATGGAACTCATCAGTAATTAAGGTTTTTAGAACAAAGTAAAAATGTTCTCTTGAGCATAGCAAAAGAAAAAACAAAGAATCTGTTCTCTGTTATTTGAATTCCTCTCTCTTGAAATTGTTCTTTAATGACTTGTGGCTTCTGATGGCCTTCCCCATGGGGCCAAAGAGGGCAGGGCCTGGGAAAGAGCCTGATGGTGCATCGGAGTGGGGCAGATGGTGTGACATCCATGAGGTGACTCTTTGTCCAGGTGGAGAAGGCAGGCCTCAGTTCTTACTCCACCCCCACCAGGAGGTGTTTCTGAAGATGACTGTTCTCCCCGAAAAGCACAGCTCCCCCTTTCTCTTCCCACAGCTCATCAGAACCGGGTGTCTGCCATCATCTTCAGCTTGGCTGCCGAGTGGGTGATCAGCACCGGTCATGACAAGTGTGTGAGCTGGATGTGCACACGGAGTGGGAGCATGCTGGGGCGGCACTTCTTCACTTCCTGGGCTTCGTGTTTACAGTATCCTTCTGACTCTGCCTCTCCTTCCCAGGACCTGGATTTCTCAGTATTTAGCTTTGAATTGGATCATCAAAAAACTGAATGGTTCCTACATTTTTCACCTAAAATCCAAGAATTTCTGTATCTACTCTTCTTTGGTATAAAATGAGCATATTAAAGTAATAATTGAGGCTGCCATTGCAGTGGCGCACACCTGTGGATTCCCAGCCACTTGGGAGGTGGAGGTTGGGATCACTATCTGAGGTTAGTCTTGGAAAAGTTAACGTAAGACCCTATTAGAAAAACAAAACTAAAAAGAAAATCAAATGGACTAGGGTTTGGCTCAATGCACTCAAGGCCCTTGTTCAGTCCCCAGCACCAGAATAAATAAACAAACAAGCAATAATACTTAAAAGCCAGGTGTGGTGGTCCATGTCCATCCCAGTACTCTGGAGATGGGAGGATTGTGAGTTTGAGGTGAGCCTGTGTTGCATGGTGAATCCCTGTCTCAAAAAAAGATGAAATAAATTTGTTGTTCTTTGCTGTAATGTTTTTAACATAAAATTGTGAAAAAAAAAAACCCCTAGCCTTCATTTATGCAGGCCCATCTCTTCTTTCCTCTACATTACAAATTTAAGACTTTACTGTATGAAGAAAGAGAAGAGGAAACCATCTCTTGGTACTTGGTTCTTTGCAGGCCCTACAAGACACTGTGCCATGTGTTAAGGATGTAGACCATAGGAACCTTGGGGTTCATAAGTAGGCTATATGAAGTTTTATACAAAAGGTTTGCTTAGTGCTTTTTAATTCTGGCGGGGGGAGGGAAGGGGAGGCCCATAATCTTTATACTCTCAGGGTGCCTCAGGTTCCCCCAAATGTTAATAATTACTGCCTTAGATATTCCCCACTACCATATGGAATTTGTTACGTATGAAGCTCACCTTTGCTTAAGGCTACTATGGTTGCTGGTTGCTGGTTGCTATGTATCAAAATCATGACAAGATCAAGACTGTCAGCAACATACAGATACCCTCAGACGCTGAATGTCTGCGTAGTAAAATTCTTTCTGTCCATTGAAAATTTTAATTAAAAATGTTTACTACAAATGAATGCATTGCATGAGATATGTAAAACAGGCATTTAAAGTACAGCCAGGCATGATGGCACCTGCCTGTAATCCCAGTACTCAGGCAGAGAGGGAGGATCATGAATTAGAGGTCAGTCTGGGCTACATAGTGAAACCCTGCCTCAAAAAAGAAAAAGCAAACTACTGTGTGCTTTTGAGATCAAACAAGGGGAAAATGCTCACCTGTTGTGTTCTAAGTTAGTATTTCTGTCATGTGCGAGGCCTTGTGATAGATTTACAGGACGTGGCAAGAATCACAGCCATGGGCCGGCTTGTGGTGCAGCTTTCAACCTGTGTTGATTAGAAGCTGCCCTACTATGTATAGGCAAATGTCTGTGGCCACAAATAGGATATGGGTTGTTACCAACAGTTAGTATATTTTAACTTGACATTTACTACCACAAAAAAACTGCCTTTGGGTCATTAGAGTTTCCACACTGAGTTAAAATAAATCATTCCCTTCACTGGAAGCTGAATCATTTCGGCCAAAAGATGGGCTCGTGTCCTGTGGGTGCTGCCAGTTACGGCCAGAGCTTCCTCGTAATGGCTTTCGCTTTGTTCCGTGTTTTCATTGTTGCGTTACTGTAACTGATTACAAATGCCTGGCCTTTATACCAGGTGTACCAGATACATTTCTCTTCTTTATTGCCAGTTCCTGGGATATTACTTGACCTAGGAACAGGAACGTAATGAATTCCTGCTAGATGAATGAATGTGAGCTTTCCCTGTAATTCGAGCTGTCTTAATTTGGGGTGGGGGACAGTACTGAGGTTTGAATTCAGGGCCTTGTGCTTGCCAGGCAGGAGCTCCATCACTTGAGCCATGGGCCAGCCCTTTTTGCTTTAGTTATTTTTCATACAGGGTGTTTTGTTTTTGCCTTGGACTGACCTGGACTGTGATTCTCTTCCTCCATCTCCCTTAGCTGAGTTTATAGGCAGGCATTACCAAGCCTGGCTTATTCATTGAGATGAGGTTTCACTAACTTTTTGCCTGGGCTGACCTCAAACTGTAATCCTTCCTATCTCCACCTCCTAAGTAGCTGGGATTATAAGTATAAGCCACCATGCCTGTATTAATTTTGTTCTATGTTTCCATTTTGTATGATTTTCATTCGAGTATTTTTCATGTTATGGTTTTAGAGTCATGCTTATTCTCTTTAAAATGCAGAACTTCTGTATTATAACTTTGACTAAAGCTGATAACTTGTGTTTATGGGAGGATTTTGAGATGGATTCTGTACATATCCTTAACTGCTTCTTCTTAGATATGATTTTGATACTCAGTATGCTTTCGTTGGAGATTTTTCTGGACAGATAACCCTGCTGAAGCTTGAGCAGAACACGTGCTCGGTTATCACGACCCTCAAAGGCCATGAAGGTGGGTACTGTGATCGCCCAGTGTTTGCCACCTGATTTGGGCACAGAGATTCAGTTCTCAGCTCCATGGTTTCACGAATGGCCAACTCATGATCTCAGATTTCAGTTTGATGGGATTCAGAGAGAAAACTAAGTGAAAGTAGGGTGTTGGGTTTAGTTTCATATTGTCAGAAATTCCTTTTATATTGCTCAGACGGAAAGTACTTTCTGCATTATCTTTTTGTTTTCATAAGAACTTAAAAAATTCTTGTAAATAGTAAAGCTGTAGGAGAATTGTTCCTTGTACTATTACTATTTTAATTTGTCAGTTTCTAGGACAAGACCTGTTAAGTCAGTACAATTAGAAGAAATTTGTTGGGGGCGTTCAGCCTTATACCCTGTGTTAGGAGGATTGGGGGAAATGAATTGCTGTATAAAATGTCCTCATTTCTACAGAGCAGTGTGGTAGCAGTGTTGTGTGGAGGAGCTTTCACATTCTGGTGTCTGTGTCAGGTGGCTTGCCATGGATGTGTGTGTAATAAGTTGGTTTAATTGAACTCTAACGTATAATACAGCACAGTTTTAACATAGATCATAGAGTCAGATTCTGGCATGATTCACCAATAAGAAGTTTTAGGCCATCTGGCTTAGACGGAAGAACTGGAGATTTGTTGAAAGAATTAATAATGGATTTATCGTTGACAACAGCTGCTGTTTGAAGTGTAACAAAGTAAATGAATCCTGTGCTTTCTATCTGGTCCATGAAGGTAAAATAGACTGTATCAGATCAGGGACTTTGTAAGGGAAAATAAAGATAACACCAAATTAGAATAGATTTTACAGGAGAACAGAGGCCCTTAACGAAACCACTTTCCATTTATGACCACTTCTCTCGTGACCTGCGGTCCCTGAAGTATTCTTTGGTGGCTGAGGACAGAGTGGGTTCTGAGACTGACTAGTCCTTTTCCTATGGGAAGACGACGTCCATCCACTAGCCTCTAGCTGGTGTGAGGGATCACAGTGTGGGAATTCACGCACATCTGGCCCTTAAGCTAGTCTCACAGAGCACTTCCTTGTTCTTGCTTTTTTGTCTTTTTGGTGGTACTGAGGTCTCAACTCAGGGCCTCACCTCACTTGTATTTTCTTTTGGGAAAGTTGATGTGATAAATTAGTTTCTGTTGTCTGTGTGTAAATACACCTTCATTAGTATTCTGTATCATGAAATTATTATCAGTTCGTATAACTTGTTCAGTTTTACTAAGTTTATTAATGCTTGTTTCCTAGACAAGCAGCAACCAATGAACAGTGAAGAGATTTGTTGAGAGAGAAATCTATACAGTTCTACCAAGCTCTCCCTAAGGGTATCAGATTTGATAAGCTGATGTAGAGTGAAATACAAAACTTAGATTTTTTTAACTTAAATTCTTTGGCATAACTATTTGGTATACCCACAGACTTTTTCTGAGGCATTTCACTTAATATTCATAAACATAGAGATTTTATGGGTCTTACCATAAGATGTGTACAAGGTCCCAGAGCTGTGGAGTAACCTAGATTTGTCTTTTCTGTAAAATGACTACAGTAAACTGTACTCATTTTTTTCATGAAATACTGGCAGGGATTTTTTTCTGCAAAAGCGTTTTCTGAGTTAAGCATATGTAATGACTTCTTTAAAAACCTTTGTATTCAATTCTGTTTGGTGCACAATCGAAAATCCTAATGGTACAACTTTAGATAATGGATGTGCTGTGTCCTCTTTCGGACTCATGAGGACGTGGTTGAATGACCCTTTGTGTGACAAGGATGGATTTTTGCTCAAAGGCTCAGCTGATCCCAGCTCAGCTTCGTTTGTCAGATTGTGCATAACCTCCCTCTCTCATATCTGCAGGGAGCATCGCCTGCCTCTGGTGGGACCCGATTCAGCGGTTACTCTTCTCAGGAGCTTCTGACAACAGCATCATCATGTGGGATATCGGGGGCAGGAAAGGCCGCACACTCTTGCTGCAAGGCCATCAGTGCGTGACCGTGACTGTGACCGTGACTGTTTGTGGGTTAGGGAAAGAACTTGAGTGTGCAGGGAGCCTTGGGAGCTGGAGCCAGCATTAGTGTTCTGTCACAACCGTCTCTAAACCCTGTTCCTTTTTTCTTTTGCCAGCATCTCACAGTATAGCCTAGGCTGGCCTTGAATTAATCCACCTGCCTCAGCCTCTTGAGTGCTGGGATTAACGGTATGCACTGCCACACCAGCAAACCCTGTCTCTTAAGACAGCAGTTTAATAGGGCTGAGTCCACTTTTACCTGCTCTGTTAGGTCTGAGTGTCTGATAAAAAAAAAATGCCAGGTGCTGGTGACTCATGTCTGTAATCCTAGCTACTCAGGAGGCAGAGATCAGGACTGTGGTTCGAAGCCAGCCCTGGCAAATAGCTCGCAAGACCCTATCTCAAAAATATCCATCACAAAAAAGAACTGGTGGAGTGGCTTAAGGTGAAGGTCCTGAGTTCAAGCCCCACTACCACACACACACACACACACACACACACACACTACAGTGTTTTCTTCCTTCTTAGTTCAAAGAGCACTTGCCACTTCTGCCTCTCAAGAAGTCTCCCTGTTGAAATAGCTACTTAGGGTAGGCATGGGTTAGAGACTGCCGGTGAGGACTTTGACCATGCCTAATGGCATGCTTTACAGTACTAAGCCACTCCTGAACTGGCTGCCTAATCACAGTTTTTCAATTCTGAATTGTATCTCATTAAGAAGTAATGCTTTGGTGCGTTGGTCTGGCAGTGGTCCTCATCTGTACTCTGACACTGAAATACTTAGGTCTTCAAAAGGAGTGCTCCCTTCACCACCTTCTCTTTGCTTCCTGTGCTTGGTCAGACTGGAGCTGACCAAGTTTATTGCAAGTTTATTGCAATCACAGTCAAGTTGAAGTTTAGCCAAGGAAGAATCAGGTGCAAAAGTTAACAGGCCAGGAGATTGTTTCCCTGGCATGCAGTAGAGGGGACCAACAAACTGCAGGAAGAGACAGACTTCTACCCATGTGTGTACCCTGTGCCATGCATGCATGTGCACATGTGTGTGTGTGTGTGTGCTCATGCTTCTAGTGATGTCTGGTGTCAGACTGCTTGCTCATATGGACTTGTTCTGTTTTTCTTTATTTCCGAACAAGTCAATTTTGTGTATCTGAAAGAGAAATCATGGTAGTGGTGCGGTGATGATCCTTATCCACCCCCAACTTGCAATTCTAAAGGACAGATCTGAAAGAAGTAGTGTTTATTTTATAGAAACTGATTCTGTAAAATGACCTCTAGAATGCCCAGTGAAGTTTATGATACAGTTCACTTTACCACACCCAGTAGTCAGTGATAATGTGCTACTTGGTGATTCCAATGAGGGGAGAGTTGAGCTTAAATGAAGACAGTTGCTGTGGTTTCCTCATTGAGACATGTGACTCTTGTGTGCCATTTGCAGTGACAGGGTGCAGTCGCTGTGTTATCTTCAACTCACGAGGCAGCTTGTCTCCTGTTCATCGGATGGTGGAATTGCAGTGTGGAACATGGATGTTAGCAGAGAGGAGGTAAGAGGCAAGAGTGAGGCCAGGCTGCCAGGTGCCTTGCTCCTGCTGTTCCTCTGAGTCCATGTTGACATAGTGTTCTGATTTTTAAGCATTTTTTATTCGTATGTGATAGTTACACAGGGGGTTTCTCTGTGACATTTCCGTATATACATGTATTGAACCCTGGTTTGTTCCATCCCTCCATTATTTTCCCTCTTCCCACACTCCCCCTTAAAATGACTTCAGCAGGTTTCAGTGTTCCATATTCATACATGTATAGAAAGTACATCAACTGTAATCACCTTCTTTTCACCTCCCCTTCCCACTAGTGCCCTCCCCTTAATGTGACTTGTTTTACACACCTGTCCTTCATTAGTGCCCTCCCCTTAATGTGACTTGTTTTACACACCTGTCCTTCATTAGTGTCTGTTCCTCATTCAGTGGGGCTTTGCCTTGGTATTTTATCTATAAATATATTGTCCTTTAATCAGCCTAACCCCCTCTGTTACTCTTCCTTACCCTTTCCCCTACCTCGTTTTATTCAGCTGTTTTCAGTGCATTTCATTATGTCTTGTTCCTACATAAATGTGATGTATTTCAATATTATTCACTCTCTAACATTCTCTTATTCTTTTCCTCCTCTCTTAGTGTCCTCTAGCCATCTCACTTTTGGAAATTGTGTGTGTGTGTGTGTGTGTGTGTGTGTGTGTGTTAATGGTTGTATTTGTATCTGTCTTCCACATACCAGAGAAAACATGTCTTTCTGAATCTGGCTTACTTCACTTAACATGGCAATCTGTAGTTCCATCCATTTACCTGTGGCAAATTGATGAAATTTCATTCTTCTTTATGGCTAAATAATATTCTATCATGTGTGTATGTGTATGTGTGTGTGTGTGTGTATCACATTTTCTTAATCCATTCATCAGTTGTTGGGCATCTGGCAGTTTCCATAGCTTGGCTATTGTGAATAATGCTGCAATAAATATGGGTGTGCAGGTGTCTTTATTGTAACCTGACTTATATTCCTTTGGATAGATGCCTAGGAGTAGTATTGCTGGATCATGTGGCAGTTCTAATTTTAGTTTTTTGAGGAGCCTCCCTACTGCTTTCCATAGGGGGTTGCTAATTTGCATTTCCACCAGTAGTTTATGAGGGTTCCCTTTTCCAACATCCTTGCCAACATTTGTTGTTGTTTGTCTTCTTGGTAATAGTTAGGTAGTCTGATTTTTAACTTGGCCATTAACTAGTTCTGAGACTTGCTTAGATAAGTGCTTTAATTTCTCTGAATGTCTGTTCTCTCTTCCGTAAAGTGAAATTACTCAGTGAGATGACTGTTAAGGCCACCTCCATTACTTCAGAAGGGCATTTTCTCTGTCTTATTTCTCTATTTTGAGTGACGCTGTAGTGAATATGCCTGGCCTTGCCATTGTATGATTGTTCAATTATTTACATCAGGCAGACATCTGAAAGTAGACCTTCTGGTGCCAGGATCTGTACATTCTTAAGGCTTTTTGTAGATGTCATCAGATGGTTTCCAGAAAGGGTTTCCATTCTCATCTTTGCCAGCTTCTACAGCCTGTGATAAGAGTTTGATTTTAGAGCATGAAGAATGTTAGTGATTCATAACTTAACTTCAGGAATAGTTGTCAAGCACCTACAGGGTGGCCATACAGTCTGGAAACCTAGGTGAAAGTACACAATAAATAGGTCAGTGGTAATGCATTTGCAATACATGTTATGTTGCATGATGTCACATGAGGTGGTCAGTGTGTAGTTTAATATGCTGTGCACATTGAGTGGATATGGTGTGTTATCCCACCATCCTCTGCTGCCACCGATTGTTTATGGGTCATTCTCACTGAATAGGCCTTCATGATTTAGCATATTCCATAAGAAGTAATCAGGGGATTCAGTCTATTAGGCAATAGTGGCAAACATGGCCACTCACAAAGATACTTGCCACCAGCAGTTTATAATCTAGTGAAGAATATAGACTACTCAATACGTAATGAAATCCAGTCATAATACAGATAAACTGATCGCTAGGTTTTCTAATAACCTTGTGAGGCAAAACAAACAGGAAATGCTGGTTACATGTATGCTGATTAACTTTTCTTTTATTCTAAAAGACTTGGTAAGGCATAGATGAACTCGTTAACAAATATATTCAATACTGGCTCAGTATTATGGAATTATGATACCTAATACCTTGCAAAGACCTAGTCAAACTGTGTTTTACATTTCTAATTATACGCACCAAAGAGCCAATACACTGTTTTGTTTCCTGAGCTATTGAACTGTTGTTTTTATCTTATTCTGGGAGAGGGTATGTTCCCTGGATAATAAGGGAAGGAGTCTGTTGGCGCTCTTTTACCTCTTGGATGTCAATCCACTGTTATAATTCTTAGTAAATTCTTTTGAAAAAGTACTCAGAATGTAGGAGCAGGACCCTTCCTTCAAGGTTACAGAATTGTGGACTGTATTTATACATCTAGGGTCAGAAAACGTAGTCTCATTTCCTTTTAGTCATCTGTTCATTTCCTATTAGTCATCTGTGGAAGAGGTGGGAAAGCAAATTGTGTGAAAAAGAGGCATTATTTTTAGTTGTTTTTTTTTTTTTTTCTTAGCTGAGTAAATGTGGTACAGAGGTAAACAGCCTATGATCTGTAAGCTCTGACCCTGAGATAGGGTTTGTATTGTTCCTAGGACCTCCTTAGCCAAGGGCATTAAAGATACATTCCAATTTCTCCAGCTCCACAATACTTGCCTGGAATTTCCTTCTAAGTCACCAGTGAGTACTGACTGGAGCATTTCCAATCCACTGTGGCTGTCAGCCATCTCACTGTCAGGTTGGAAGCAAATTTGCTTCCCTGCCAGATTGTAATTAGAGGGGTTCCTTTATGGAAGAAGGTACAAAATATAAATGAACGAGTGATGATAACTGTGTAGAATGAATCATGTTGGAAAGAGAGCTGTTTTTAACGAGGAGATTACAGAACGTATCTTTAAACATTAGTGCACTGCAGAGGAATGAAGTGATTAGTGGTAGTAGTAGTAAAATGGAATTATTCTTGTCCTGTCATTTTTGCTCAGATTAGGGAGGTGGAACAAGATGTGGAAAAGACAGTGAAGCTGTCATAATGCTTCATTAATACTCTCTTTTGCTCGTCTCAGCACAGTAAAACCCTCGTGCCCCTTAGACAGTAATCACAGAGCAGACCGTCCCTGAGAGCTTGCTCACCACCCAGTTCTGAGTATCAGAAATAAGATTATGGTGTTTATTATTAAATCTGTTCTAAAAGCCTGCTACTTCTGATACTGATTTGTCTTCTTATCTCAAATATTTTAAGCATATTTTTTTCTTCTCTTGTGCCCCTCTACTCTTCAACTGAGCAAAATATTCTCTTATACTCTCAGACAGAACTCTGCTCTCTGAGGCAAAAGCTGAGTTCTGTTCTATCGGTTGTCATTCCCCATAACCATGCCTGGAGACCCAATGTGGTAAAGCAAACCAGGCCCATTTGCAGAGGCGGCATAGAATGTGATGGACAAGCAGAGGTGCATAGGTCAGACTCCAGAATTCCCCGGTTCTCCACCTAACTGGCATGGACAGTCACTTCAGCCTCTGAGCCAGTGTCTTTGCTTATAAAGTGAGGTTAATCTTGCTCTGTATTTCCCAAGGTTGTGATGAAAATCCAGTAAGATAAAGCATATAAAACTCTTGGCCAGGTGTGGTGGTGCATGCCTGTAATACCAGGAGCTACTAGGGAGGTGGAGATTGGGAGTATTGTGGTTCAGTGCCAGCCCAGGCAAAAAATTAGTGAGACTGTACCTCAGTCATTGAGCTGGGCATGATGGCACACATGACGGCTACTTGGAAGATCGTGGGTAGGCGAATCACAGTCCACAGCTGGCCCTGGCAAAAGGGGGAGACGCCATCTGAAAAGTAACGAAAGCAAAAGGGATTGGGGTGTGGCTCAAGTGGTGGGGCACCTGCCTAAAAAACTTGAGGGCCTGAGTTGAAACCCCAGTACCACCAAAAATAAAACAAAACTCTTGCCTACTTCCTGGACTTATGTGGCACTTACTGTATACCAGACACTCTTCAAAACACTTCAAAAATAGTAGCTCATGTAATCCTCACAGCCTTACAAGGTATAGATTGCTACTGTTCTATTTCACTGATGAAGAACCTGAGGCACAGGAAAATTAAGTGATGTGCCTGAGGACCCAGAGCTGGGATGTGAATGCAAGAGATTTGGTCATGAGTCAGCTATTATAACCACAGTGACTAACAGAAAGGAATTGAGAATCTAAACATGACTTATCTGTATATTAAAAAGTATCCTTGCTTGAAATTGGGTCACTTGAAAATAAACTCAAATGTTTGGAAATCCGTCTATCTGTTGCTTAACTCACAATGCTGGGGACAGAAACCTTTTATGTGAAAGTGATGTTGTAGGTAATTGAAATGTGATCCTTCAGTTCTAATTTGATAACGTTTTACGTTTCTTAATGATGCAGTTTCACCTTCCTGACCACGAATCATTATGCTGCATAGTGATACAATTTCAAGTGTGGATTTTAATTCTGTTATCCCTTCACATAGAACTGACAGTTTTTTCTGGAACTATGTTCTTGCCTCCAGTTCTACCTGCCTTAGTCCCTTCTAGGACAGACTTCAATCCACTGTGACCTAAGAAGCAGATTTTTAAAATCTGTAGATCAAAACTGACTCACCATATCATAAAGAGCCTAAGGAGAGAAAATGTAGGCTTTCATTCAAATATTTCCGTATCTTTCTTTTAAACCAAATTTGGAAATGTTTAATCCCTCTTCTGTTTCAGTTGAGGGCCAGACTTCTGAATTCCAGGTGACTGAAGTTTGTTTTTTTAAGATTTTTAGTGTAAAGTAATACCTGATTGATAGCGTGTGGCCAAGGAAAATAGAAAATTCAGCATATTAACTGTATATGGAAGAAAGCCAATTTCTGGAGCACCAAAAAATAATTGGAAGTTTGCAAATGAAAGTTTTTATCCTTAATATTTTGGGTTTTTTTGTTTGTTTTTGTTTGTATTGCAGCACGGGGGCTTGAATTTAGGGCCTCGAGCTTACTAGGCAGGTGCTTGAGCCACTCCACCAGCCCTTTATCCTTAAAATTTGTGCAGTAAATTGAACACTAGTTCTCTGTGGTCAAACGTGGAAAGTGTACAATGAAGCAAACTTTCATTTATTATGTTTTCATTAGAGCCATCCTGGCGTCCCATCTACGTTCTGGTCCCCACTAGCGTTTGTTTGAAGACGGTTGTAGGGAGGACCTTTGCTGCTGATTGTCACTGGACCTGACTGTGGTTTACAGGACTTACACTTGGGCCTGGCCCGGGCAGAAGACCGGGAAGTCAGACCTGTGTTCCTCCTCTGCAATCAAATGTCCCCATGCTGTTGGCAACACAGCACATTATGTCTCCCTGAAGAGACATGGTTTCCAGGCAGCATTCCCAAACCCCAGTGATCACGAACAGAGGTGGTTCTGTGTCAGGATGGGGGTCTTCCTCACTCAGGCACACATCTCTCTGTCACCTTCTTTCCTCTCATCTCATATCCAGCAGTTCCCCAGTACCGAGTCTTGTCTTCTGTTTCAGCCTGCTTCAGTCTATTTGTGAGTGTGTTACCTCTCCCACCACCCAGAAGACACTTGTAATAGCTGTCATGTGCCAAATGTTATTAGCAACACATCCAAAATAAAAACTAGGGTGGCCCAAAGTTTTGGTGCAGTAGGAAACAAGATCAAAGCACTAGGGGCACCCCTCCTTTGAGCCACCCACACTCTTGTAGAATCTCTGAAAAGCTGCCCATGGTCACTGCGTGTCTTCTAAGGGTCACTCAGAAAAACTGTGATTCTGCCACCATTTCCTTGTTCTCAAATGTATTTTCTTTTTTTTTTTTTTTTTTTGAGATTTAACTTTCAAGATCAAGAGAAAATTCTTACTCCATGACCTGCGGATTAATTTATAGAAAATAGTATTACCTACTATTTTTACACTCATATTACATTTGGTTTTCTTTCTTCTTTTGTAGTACTGGGGTTTGAACTCAGGGCCTCACATTTGCTAGGCAGGTGCTTTTCCACTTGAGCCACTCCACCAGCACAACACTCAAATAACATTTAGTAATTAGACAGCTTGAAAAAGGCTTATTCAGAACAAGTACAGTTCATAATTTTTTGGTTTAGAGAAATATCTTTCTAAGTTCCTAATAAAGTAATTTTGAGACTTTGAGTCCTGTTTCAACAAAAACGCTTTGAGAACTTGTGTGTGACAGCAGTGGCTTCTGTGGCTCTATGAAGTTAATAGCAAGCACTCAGTGGTTAGCGCAGGGAATGGAGTACTAGCACTCGCTGCTCAGCAGAGGCTGCAGGACGGCTGCGCTGTGCATACTCACAAGAGGGAGGGACTGCTCCTGAGGTTAGGGTGGTAGGGAGGGAGAGTGAACCTGTCTGGCATGGGGCCCACCCAGAATCTCTCTTGTCTTGTCTTATCTCTCCTGTGAGTCACCCGAGACCCCAAAAGCCTTTCCAGGTGGTAGTTCACCAGATTCTGTAAGAAATAGTTTTCACTCAACTGAGTATAGATTTCAGAACCTTTAGCTTAAAAAAGAAATATGTAAAGACACTCCATAAGAATTCATAATAAAAATTTAATTACTCCCTCTTATCTATAGATTACATATTGAGCAACGCTGTAAACATTGCTAAAATTGGAATGCTTACTGAAAACACAAACATGGTACTGATTATGCTGGCCAGCTAAAGACATCGTGCAATTAAGAAGAAGTTAGTACTGTATTAATTTCTGAAACCAGTTTAAACCAGTTTAAACATAGAGGCATGCTGACTCTGGCTTTGACTCTGCTTCTCCCAGGCTCCTCAGTGGCTAGAAAGTGACTCCTGTCAGAAGTGCGAGCAGCCCTTCTTCTGGAACATAAAGCAGATGTGGGACACAAAGACCCTGGGGCTGAGGCAGGTGAGCAGCCAGTGAGGTGTCGCTGCGCTGATTGCATGGCTCATTATTTGTACAATTAAACTGTCACTTTTTAAATCACATGTTGTCCTTACAAATGCTGTTTATTCCTATACTTTTTATCTCACGATGATGTTATTAATAGTGAGCACAACTTCTTCTGGGCCAGTAAGATGTATTGCCTAACAGCTCCATTCCTTGTCCTGCATTGAAACACACAGATGCATGGAAAACCCTGAAAACCTGTTGTTAAAATGATGAAAGATCTTCCAGTTTAGGATTATTATTTGTCAAAAGCAATATGTTATACCAGCCAAGTGTAAAATTAGAATAAATTAGGGCACACAATTATAGATCTAAAAACAGATAGCAAATTTAACCCTCACTGGGACTATGAATTTTAGATTCTTCTAAATTGTTCTAGGAAGCAACAGAGGTCAATATGAGAAAGGGGATCAGGAGGGGATCAGGAAGCAGTGTAAAGATCAGTTAGAGATGAATCAACTTGGGATGTAACACATTTGCACATGGAAGTAATGCTAGGAATCTCTCTGTATAGCTATACTTATCTCAACTAGCAAAAATGCTTTGTCTTTCTTATTATTGCTTAGTAAGGGCAGAATATGTTCTGGGGTAGCAAGGAGAGGAAGGGGGTGGGAGGTAGGGGGAGAAATGGCCCAAACAATGTATGTACATGTGAATAAATGGATAAAAAAATTGTTCTAGGGCTGGTGGAGTGGCTCAAGTGGTAGAACACCTGCCTAGCAAGCATGAGGCCCTGAGTTCAAACTGCAGTACCACCAAAAAAAATTAATAAATTGTACGCCAGGCACCGGTGGCTCACACCTGTAATCCTAGCTACTTAGGAGGCAGAGATCAGGAAGATCATGGTTCAAAGCCAGCCCTGGCAAATAGTTCATGAGATTCTATCTCAAAAAACCCATCACAAAAAAGTGCTGGTGGAGTGGCTCAAGATGAAGGCCCTGAGTTCAAATCCTGTACTGCAATCAATCAATCAGTTGTTCTAGTATAAATGTATCTGGGATATTTCTTGTAGCCGATGGACTTCAATTAAAGCTTTCTTTCCCTCCCTCCTTCCTTCCCTAGAACATTTTTATTGTGAATGTTTCAAGTCCCATTTTTTATTTTAAATTAAAGAAACATGCCCAAGTAGTCTATAGATCTCAAAGTATTTGTTGTATTAGGTACTCGTGTAATACTAAATTTCTACAACAAAATACATTTATATGGCAGCCTTAAAGGTAGCCACTCACTGAGGTGAATGTGAATTTGTACGGTTGCACCCCTATGAAGGATTCGTCTGCAGTGTGTATGTGTTAATTAGCTTCTCTGACTTCACTCACAAAGCTGCTTTTTGGTAAGGTCTAGTATGAGACTGGCAGCCAAGGCAGGAATTATTTCAGTGCTCAAGACATCCTAATGTCCTGAAATGGCAGCTGAGTTCTATCCTTAGCCCAGTTCTCACAACGCAAGTCTGGTGGTAAATAATGCAGTGCAAATGACGGGTTTCCTTCTAAAGGAAACGAAGGAATGAACACTTCATTCTTCTGCAATAGCAGCTACTAGAGAGAGAAAAGGTGCTGGTCACTAAACTTTTAGTAGTAAAAGAACATGTCAGATCAGTGATACTAATTGAGTGGTTTTAGAATGTTCTTGAATGGTCCTGAACCATAGTCTGAGAGATTAAGAGAAATAGCAAAACATATGACTGTGGACACTTGTTTCCTAATGAAGCCATGTCACGTTTAAAACTTTTCTTTGATGAAGAAAGGGAAAGATTTTCCTTCCCAAAAATCTACAGTGACTGGGCTGTTAAATGAATTTGATTTAGAAAAAACATTTTTTGGAGGTACTAGGGTTTGAAGTCAGGGCTTTGTGCTCCCAGGCAGGCTTTACCACTTGCTTTGTTTTTTTTTGAATAGGTTCACTTTAGTGCCCAGGCCTGTCTAGACTGTGATCCTCCTACTTGTGCTTCCCACATAGCTGGGATGACAGACAAGTGCCACCACACCTTGCTTTTTACTGGTTAAGATGAGGTCTCACTGTTTGCCCAGGCTGGCCTCAATCTATAATCCTCCCAGTCTCTGCCTGCTGAGTACCTAGGATTAGGTGTGAGCCACTGCACCCAGCCAAACTTGTTTTTACCAGTGCTAATTGTTTACATGAAGACAGATAATGGAGGAATGACAAGCAGTATTTGACCATTAAAACAAGGTTATTTGGAGAACTTGAGTTACTGAAATTGTCTGTCTTTCAAGTGTTGATTGATACATTGCTAAGGTGATTATTTTTCAAGGTATATCTTCCCTGCTCCCATTTCCTGACTTTTAAAGGGAAGCCTTGTGTATTAACAAAGAGGCTAACTCCTGTTTTCCTCTCCTGTTTCCCCGGAAGCATCACTGTAGGAAATGCGGGCAGGCCGTCTGTGGGAAGTGCAGCAGCAAACGCTCCAGTTACCCTGTCATGGGCTTCGAGTTCCAGGTTCGAGTTTGTGATTCCTGTTACGACTCCATCAAAGAGGAAGAGTGAGTGCTTGCCTGTCTTTGTCTGACTGCCTCCTGCTTCCTCTGTCTGATGGGTATTTAAATACAGAAATGGAAAATGATTCAAATGTAATTCTGCACCGTTGTTTGTCTCCTCAGAATTTCATAAGCCATTTCTAAAGAGAAGACTCTGTCCTAGCTTTATGACTTTTGGTCACTACTATTTAACTCAAGCTGCCCCACTGGCTAGGATAGCTGCTCACTGGACATTGCTGAGCCCCACAGCCCACAGGGCCCCGTGCAGGGACAAGTCCACATGTGGATGGTGTCCCCTTCTGCCCTGACTCGGGCAGTCCACAGGGACAGTTACCTTTAGAAAACGAGGCAAGCCTTGGCAGAGGACTGCATTGGAACCCATCGGGCTAGTGATGGAGTGAGGCTGCTGTCCAGAAAGCAGAGTTAGTGCTGTGCCACAGAAAGCGCCCTGTGGAAGGCAGAGACTCAGGAGGTGTGGCTTTCCGTTGTGTCCAGTCACACGATCTTGTTCAGTGCAGTTCCTCCTCTGTGCTCTAGGCATGTTTTTATGCATCAGCCTTTCCAGCAAAAAGGTAAAAATCAGTTATTTTGAGTGTCTTATAAGACCTTTTTTTCCCCTTTTTTTGGAAGTACTGGCATTGCACCCAGAGCCTCTTGCATACCAGGAAACCACTCTACCACTGAGCTACATTCTTAACTGTTATCAAACCTATTACAAACAGTCTTATACTTGATCTTGCTTCCTGTCATTCTTTAATTATAAAGTTGTTTTTCAAAACCATAGCTACATTTTAAGAAGCTAATTTTAACACTATTGTTTTTATGCTACCTCTGTTGCTAAAATATTTTTTATTCCTTAGCTCCAGGTACAGACAAGTGAGTCTCAATGATCTGCTTTCTCTTTGTCAGTCGGACTTCTCTAGCAACCTTTCATGAAGGAAAACATAACATTTCCCACATGTCCATGGACACTGCTCGGGGACTGATGGTGACCTGTGGGACTGACCGGGTCGTGAAGGTGAGCTGTTCTGATCGTTAGATCTCAGTTTAAAGTGCGCCACTGTCAGGCTGTGCATGGCGTTTTGGCATTTTTAGTACTTTCTGACTGGCAAGCTTGCCCTCCCCTTTTATAAGCAACCTGTTGCCTTTGTGTGCTTGCAAGTTTCCACACCCTGAGGGGAGTTAATCCCAGCAGTGTAACCGTGTTCTGGCAGAGTGAGCTGGTGAAGGCCTGCCATCACTGCAGAGGGGCCCAGGGCTTCTTCCTCCAGCTGGCTCAGGCCTTTGCTGACCACAGTCTGTAGGCCTTCCTTCCCTATTTAACGTTGCTTTACATCCTAGAAAGAAGAATTGAAAGGAATACACACACAGTTTCTCATTGAATCTCTCATCACTAACACAAGTTGAAAGTAAATGTGGGTTTTTTTTGTGGTTTTTTTTTTTGGTAGCACTGGGGTTTGAACTCAGGGCTTCACATTTGCTAGGCAGGTGCTCTACCACTTGAGCCACTCTGCCAGCCCTTTTTGGTTTGGTTATTTTGAGATAGGGTCTCAGTTTATGCTTGGACCAGCCTGGACTGAGATCCTCCTACTTAAGCTTCCCTGAGTAGCTGGGATAACAGGCATGGCCCCCTGTGCTCAGTCATTGGTTGCAATAGAATCTGGTGGTCTTTTTGCCAGGACTGGCCCGGAACCTCCATTCTCCCATTTCCATCTCCCGAGTAGCTAGGATTATAGGCTTGAACCACTGTAAATGTTTTATATTTCATACCCCTCTTGAGTGGTGAAGCCGAAATACTTCAGATTGCTAAAAATTAAGTTTGTAGTAGAACACTGTTATGATGTTATTTTCAGGTGTTGTGATGGCACTAGACTTTTTTCATATCATAATAAACTGTATTTTTTATCTCTATGTAAATCTTTAGGAGGTTTTGTATGAAAGAAGAGAACGAGAAAATTCATTATTGACACCTTCTCAAGGTGAACAGAAATAAGTTTGTCAGTGTTGACTCCTGATGTTCAACCCCATGATCAGTGCTGTCTTTTCCGTGTCTTATTTCCTTGTAGATATGGGACATGACGCCCGTGGTGGGCTGCAGTCTGGCAACTGGGTTTTCTCCCCACTGATCCAGGAGCTGTGATGTCTACACCTTGTGAACAACAGCCTCCACCAAATGAAATCCTTCCCGTGTATCTCGACAGCCACTGTCGTGTGAATGGACAGTAGCCACCTAAAAACAAATCAACATTTTTAAAAAGAAAAAAGTAAAGGTGTGTTTTAGGGCATCTGTGGCCCTTACCTGTGGGGACTAGTGTAGAAAAGGTCCATCTGTAGTGGTCCCCTGAGGGATGGACTTCTTCAGCGAAACTTCCTCGTGGACAGTAGCTAATGGGTGAGGAAAGAGTAATCTAGCAGGTGCGAATTTTCCAGGGCAAGAAATTGAACAGATAAGTTAATCCTTAGAACTTTTTACAAACACATGGCCTCTCAGACTAGCGGGCCTTCTGGGGGCACTAAGAGTCTCTGTTGTGGGAGCAGGAGTCATGGGAGAAGGGGTGTCCTCTCTTTCTTCAGGGGAGGTGTAAGAACTAACAGAGTTCAAGGCATCTCCCTACATACTGGCGGTGTGTGAATATTCTGTACTCTTACTGACAAACTTCTTAAAGATACTGTTCTTTTTGGGTAGTGCCATAATCTGTTAGCACTAGGCTCGCTTCAGTTGTTTCTCTTCCAGCCAGTGTGCCATTTCATCTGACCAAGACAGTCCACATTCTTCTCTCTCCTCCACATGTGCGCTGGGGACAAAGCTTTTCTATGGTGCTGTTAACGTGAGAGTTGCACAAGCTACCCGACCTCTTCTCATTATAGCCAGTAACGATTAGTGGGAAACCCAGCTACCCGTGTAAGGGAGGGGAAATGATCTGTTTGTGGAATGGTCTGGCCCTGCTAGCAGACATTCTATTTGTAGTTCCAAGAGAGCCCTGAGATACTGTTTAATATGCCTCTCAGAAAAGTATTCCAAAGCTTTTAAATGATGTTGGCTTTTAGACTAGTGTTTTTGATTATTTTATAGGAAGAAACTGGTGGCCCAGATCTGAGATTACCAATCAAGTCTTCTGCAGTAATTCCTAGGTTATAGGTCCCTTTCAAAACAACTAGCAAAAGTTGTTTAAAATGCATTTTTAGACAAGTGTGGTGGTACGTTCCTATAATCCTAACTACTTGGGAGGCAGAGAGCTGGAGGGTTACAGTTTGAGGCCTGTGTGGGCAAAAAGTTTATGAGACCCCCACCTCAACCACTAAAAGCTGAGTGTGGTGGCTTGAATCTGTCACCTCAGTTATGACAGAAGCATAAATAGGAGGATCACAGTCCAGGCTGACCTAGGCATAAATTTGAGACCCTGTTGAAAAATACCTAAAGCAAAAAGGGCTGGGGTTGTCGCTCAAGTGGTAGCACCTGCCTGGCAAGCGCAAGACCCTGAGTTCAAAGCCCAGTATTGCCCCTCCTAAAAATGCATGTTTAAAGCTTTTGACCACAGAATATGAAGGTGACGAAGAGATAGGAGTGGGGAGCCTATCTTCAAAAGTCAAATATTGGTGTTTGTTTTGACAGAGGAATGTGTATCCATTTCTTTAGAACTGTAGAAGTGAGTGGAGAAGGATCTAGTTTTTTAAAGGACAAATATAAAAACAGCAACAGTGTGTTTGTCAGTCTTACTAATAGATATTAATGTAAAACACTGCATGACTGCAGTAAGACACATGGTCATTCTATACAGTGAAACTAAGACACTAAATCTGCTTTTATTAGCATGGTTGTCAGGGATGAAAAAGCTTAAGGCGGGAAATTAAACTTGTCTTAATGCCCATGTGAAACAGATAATAAGGAAAGGAAAGGTGGTCAAGCATACCATGCTCTTAAATGATCTGCTTTAAAAGCTGACTTCAGTTCAGAAATAAGACTGAATGGTTTTGTTGCTCTGTATAATTTTTACATTACATCACCTGAAAAGATGTTCACAAAATGTACATTGTTAGCATAGTTTGGAAGAAAAACCGAGTAATGTTAACTTTAGAACCAGTGTTGAATGTTGAGCTTCTCCTGTTCTGGTCAGTTCAGTTCCATAATGATTCAGTCCATACAGAGGTGCTATCCTGGAGCATTTATTAAGTTCTAAAAGGAAAATAGAATGTGCTCCACCTTGCTCTGTGGAAGAATGCTGAGCTGAGGTTTTGTTTCCTTTAACTTCTGTAAAATGTGACTTCTCCATGTCTGTGGCAGATGGTACAGAAATCCCAGCTGCTGAGAAGACTCCATATCCCTCACACTTTCCTATCTTAAAAACTCTTGGTGAGAAACCCTGTGTTGCAGAGAAAATTTGAAGTTGTTTAGGCCTTGTAGGGGATTAGTATGAATCAAGGAGGAAATGTATATATGAGGGAGATTTTTGGGGTGGGGAGCCTTAGAAAAGGAAAGGAGACTGTTTTGATGTGGGCTGCTCCTCAGCTGAGCCTCTGAGCACTTTCCTTTGTAAAAATGTACATGTCAGGCTTATCTTGCCCTGTCCACATTAGGTAGCAAAATGAGGTAAATATTTTTTATAGAGGTGGGCAAAAATTATTTTCTCAGTTTTACTGACTAGCTACACAAGGAAGGTACAGATAGGCTTATGATTATTGCCTTATTTTGACTGTTTCTCTAAGCGGTCACTTGAGATCATTCTCCAGTCATAGTTTTCTGTTCTTCCTGTTCCTGAATCTTCCAGCTCATTTGTACAAATAGGGATTGAGAAGTGCAGAATGGTGGAGAAGATCCTTTTCTTTAGACCTAGGATGTCTGTAATAAGGAAATGCCAATTCTCCATTGTCGTGTTTTCAATTATCCCTTGTGAGTCCAAGTGCTAGCAATCCCCATAGCATCAGGTAGAAACAAATCATATGCATTGCACTGTAAGTCTGTTTCTATTCTGCCTTGCTACCTACATGATATACACAAAACATACTGCTCTAAGCATACCACTTTATTCTCCCCCTCAACAATTCAGTTTGTTAGCATTTGTATTTTTTAACTGTTGAACTCCAAAGCTCCGTACCATCAAAAATTAAGTAAATAAACTGCTCAAACTGACCCATTTATGTAATAATGCCACCAACTCAGATCTAAGGAAACATTTTTTTAAATCAATTTTCAGTACTGTCTATTTCCATTACTGAATCTGATATCTCCTAAAAAGTAAGAAGCCAGTCACGATTAATGATAAGCCATCTGCTCATTGTAAATGTGAGGTTTAACAAATAAGTAATACATGCTGTATTTATTCAAGTGTCTATTGCTTAATTGTTCATTGTGAGCAGACCATTGAATGCCTCATCTGTTTTCTGCAGTTTACTATACAAGATCTCTTTGAATAAGTTGAAGTTTAATTGTGTAGCGGATTTATATTAGAGTACACTTCAAAGTGTTTTTCTCTATAGTCTTTTTTGACTGGGGACACAAAAGGTCATGTGAATTAATTACAAACTTTGTTCTTCTACTAGCTATGTTTCTAAAAGATGTGGTGCCCGTGAATCCCAGACAGGCTAGAAAACTTTGTTCATTGCTCCTATTTGTGGGTTCTGTTTTTGTGTTTTTTGGAGAATATGTGTACAATAAAAAATTCCTTGCTTGTTACTGTGCTGCTTAATTTAGTTTTTGTTATGCTTGATCCAGACATAGGACAATAATAGTGGCTGTCACTTATTTGGCACCCTCTGCTGGTGCTTCGGCTACATTATCTTACTCAGTTCTGGCCACACTTCTGCAAGTATTTCTCCCATTTACATTTTACAGATGAGAAAACCCAGAAGATTCTGTCTGTCTGTCCATCTGTCTGTCTGACTTGAAAGCACATGCCTTGTCCAACACACCCTGCGCCTACTGTGCCAGCAGGTCCTGATGTGTGCCGGAGGCAGGTGGTGTGCTCTGTGCTGTACTTTTGCAAGGCGTGCCTGAGTGACCAGTCAGGGGAGCTCAGGATGTCCAGGCTCTCTGACCACATTGAGCTGTGGAGAGACCTGCGCTCCACGCCCCTCTGCTCCACCTCAGCAGCTCAGCCGTGAGGAATGGGTGGAACCAGTAGGTCAACTGAAGCCCTGAAATTGACCTAACCCTCAGGTTACTGTTACTGTATGTCTCTCAGAATCAGATACAGCCTTCTTTCCTTTCAGCATCAGAATACTTTTTCTAACAAAAAGAAAAAGGAAAAACAAAGATACTACTGAAATATGTTAAATAAAGTTTAAAAAACAAAACACTTTAATCCTACCACCCAGAGAAGCGTCATAAACTTATGCCGTGTATCTTTCCAAGGTTTTTAAAATACATGTGTAACACACACTTACAAATCTCTTTGACGGAGCATACTTGTTTTTCCGTTTGACACACTATGGATGATTTGTCCATAAAAAGCAGGTGACTACATACGCATGTCAGTAGTTTTAACTGCCTACTTGGCTGCTGTACACATTGGCGAGTCCGGTGTCCCCAACCCTATTGAGGCTGGGCTAGGCCTTTTGATCTGCTTAGTGAACACAACAGGGGCAGAAGCTTTTCACTGTGGGCTTGAGAGGCTCTCTACCATGACCGTCTCTTCCACAGTGATCATGGGAACATGTGGAAAGGGGAGTGTGACACCAAGTCATGCCATGGCCCACAAGTACCACAGACCTGAGGTGGGCTTAAGCATGAGCAAGAAGATCTTCACTGTTTTAGTCCACTGAGGTGGGTGTGGGTGTGGTCGCAAGTGTTTTAACTGCAGCATGATCTAACGTGTACAGCTGTATTCATTTTGATTTTGTGGTACTGGTGTTTGAACTCAGGGCCTTGTGCTGCCAGGCAGTCACTTTACCACTTGAGCCATACCTTTGGCCTGCAGTATTCCATTCTTGCATTATAAAAGAAACCATCTTTTATTTCACCAGTCCCATGTTGAAGTTAGATTATGCAAGTTGAGTAACTCTTATCCAAAATGCTTGGAAGTAATCCAGATGTTGGAGTTTTTTTTTTTTTAATTCTGCAATATTTGCATAGACTTTTCCAGTTGAGTATCCCTAATCCTGAACTTTGAAATGCTCCAAAATCTGAAACTTTGAGTGCTGGCAGGATGCTTTCAGATCATTTCAGATTTGGGATTTTTGGATTAGAGATGCTCAACCTATGTAAATTTAGATTATTTATTATTTTAATTAAAACTTTAAATAGCTGGACACCAGT